CTGGATTTCCTGCGAGTCTTCAGCCTGACCACCCAGGCCCGGAGGGAGGAACTGCTGAAGCAGAAGCGACGCAAGAGGCGCCGGATGTTGATGGAGCGGAGTCCTTCACCGCCTCCGGTCTCAAACAAGCGGCAGGCCCCCTCACCGCGGCCCCTTCCCACCAACAAGTACAGCGCCGACGAAATGAACAGCACTCCCGACCTCGCCGAGAAGAAGAGATTCCTGACGTCTTTCAGCCTCGCTCACATAATCCCAGAGAAAAGAAAAGGTAAAGGTCTGTTCCCGTTGATCTGTTTCTCACTGAGGGCCGCAGTTTTGAGTTTCTGTTGAAGGGATCACTTTGTTTCTGTAGCCACTCCCACCTCCATCCTTCCCCTTCTGACTCTCAGCCCTCCTCCTTCCTCCCTGAGAATGAGGGGTTCTCCTTTTCCATTCTAGTATCTCTCCTGCCACCCATCCACATTTAGCCTTCCCAGTCCTTTGTCCCAAGGCACGTGAGTTTATTGGCCAAATGCTGGAAATAGGGATGATAGTCATTAAGTGGTTGTTTTTGATCAGCAAAGACTCGATGGGCTGAAGGACCTTTTCTGAACGATAGACCTCTATGACTCTGTGGCCCTGTATGTTATGGGCAAGAGGGAGTTTGGAAAAAGACAGAGAAGGTGATTTAGTGTCTTAGCCAAAGTGCAGCACCTCCAGTAGTGCAGCTGTCCTACAGTGGAGCATTGGCCAAAATTTAGTGCTCAGACCTCCAGGGTGGGGAGTTGAATCCATACCTATCAGACTTGGAGCTGGCAGAGATTCCAGCTGAGTCGCGGCTGGCATCTGTCTGGCTGCCATGATAGTTCCCTCCCACATTACTTCTGTGTTCCCAGTGTTTCTCCACATTACCTGATCTTTGCTTCTTCCACTCTGAGGTGCAAGTGCTCCCAAGGCCCCAAACTGAGGGCTTCCTGCCATCAACAGGAACTCATTCGATGAAGCGCTTTGATTTTGTTAATATGAAAAGAGCACTATGTGTAAATGAAAGGTTTCATTAAAATCTTAGAAGAATATTCCAACCACAGTCAAGAGTCATTAACTGCCCCATCTCAATTTACGAGTGTTTTTTTTTTCACAAATATATGGGTATGTAGTTGTCAAAATCACCCATTTGGCCTCCAGCCATTATTAGTCAGCATCCACTTTTAATAGCCCTCTGTCAGACTGGCACTTGGAGTTTCATTTTGAGTTGGAATTTACCCACACTTGGTTACAGTGGCCCCAGCTCAATACTGATACACTTGGCTCTGTCACACAGTCTCATTTCACTGTTGGTTTTTTTTTGAAAAGCTCAGTGTTAACCCTATTATTTATTGGTGCTTCTCTCCCTCTCTCTCACGCACACAGAAAAGGAGACCCTGATAGAAATGATCCATTCCATAAAACAGAAGACCCGGCCTTCAGAAGCACCTTTTAAATACCTCTCCCCTCCATCGTGTACCAGTTCCAGCTCATCTCAGACTGGTGAGTGTTGATCTCTTCAAGAGGTCCTTTTGTAACTGGTCTTTGAGAAGCTCCTGAACTGCTGGTTTAATCAGAATACAGCTGGGGGTGCACCTTTGGGGTGACTTT